TCACGCGTCTTGCACACGGACTACCACGTCCTCTCACAAATCCAATCCTGCATCTCGCAGTCCAACCCTTCGCACCGCCTTGTAGCGTGTTAGAATAGTACTGAATGGATGGCCACGGTGTCGTGTTTTAGAGACGCTGAACTGGATTACGTCGTTGTTTGTTGGAGGGTTCGACATGGGGAGTATGAATCGGATGCGCACGCGCAGCTCTGGCTGCCGATATTGCCTACACGCTTAAGTCTCCATTGGCCGCTGTCATCCTCCCTGGCCGAGCTTCAATGCACGAGTGTCTGGCACCACACCACATCCTAGCGGGACCGCGAAGTCGAGCGTCTCAGGAAGTACTTAATCTTCCAAGTTTGCGCGCACCGTCTCAATTTGGTCTTTCGGGTCCAGCGGACATTGCATTCACTGACGCTGTCCTGAAGTGCGCGCGTGGTCGCTTACCATTGTCTCTTTGATCTTTCCCGCAATGATAATGAAAATAGGGCAATGTTCACGATCCGCTTTTCTTGCCGCGTCAATTCTTGTATCGGTAGTAGTGTGTGCATTGCGAGTCCGTGTGCGGTGGCATAATTCAATCATTTGCGCCAATCTAGATGTCTCCGGACTGCCTCTTATGCGCCGCTGCTGGTTGATGCAGTCAAGTCATCGATCATATATGCCCAAGTTACGTTTGCGTCTTCGGAACGGGTTGCTCGGGGGCGACCATCGACTTTCCTACCGGCAATTCTCTGTCCGTCTGTACACCTGCCCTGTCCAACCTGTTGCCGGTGGCTCTGGGTGCTTTGGTTATCGTTGTATGCCAGAGCGCCGTTGGAGATGGCGGCCGGCGCATATTGTTTGTGACGCGATCTTTACATGTCACTCGTTGGCTTCGTGCTCTTGGAGTTATGCCATCTTGATGTTTAGGCCGCGTCCTATGAGGGAAGAACCGCTTCGAAGCTCCTTGCGCCAGTTCTCGGACGAGCACTCCGTCTTTCAGCCATGATTACAGCGCGCTTCTCGACTTGGTAGTGTCTCGACGGACAGCTTCGTACGTGAGAGCACCGGTTGATACCAATGGTGCCCACATATCCTTGCGCGTAAAGTGCTGCCACTGTACCATCTCGGTGTAGAAAGCAATGCGGACAGCGGTGAAGACAGTCCCCTACTTGTTTTCTGGTGGCTCTACATCAAGACGGATTTCGTTCGCCTCGTGAAGTACACTAAGCTTGGACAGGTGTCTGTAGATAGTGGATGTCATTACGTAGACAGGAACATAGCTCAATTGCAGACTTGTTCAGTTTGCTGACCCATCATGAATGTAGGTCGCGTCATATGGCTCCGTGTGCCGAGGTCGCCTACCGAGTTGTGATACCTAGAGGTATTGTACACGCCGTACACGTCTGGTGAGTGCCCGCGCATCTTGCTAGAAAAGATGCTCAGCGCTCAGCGCCTCTCGTGACAACTCTCCGGGCGTTCCAAACCGCCGAAGATTCTGCGTGTGAGCTTAGAGAGTGTATTCCCAACCGCCGAATTCGGATGGTCATCAGGCGCCCTGCTAATCGTCGCGTCTTGCCGGGTTCGACTTACTCGGTCCGCCCTTCGCTGTCCCCGCCGTCCTTTACCAAGAAAATTATATGCGCAGAGACGCGCAGATCAACAGAACACGACAACGGGCTTCCGGGGCTCGGGCTGTTGGGGCTGTTGGGACGGACGGGGTCGTGCAGACAGCGCGGGCGGCGTTGCAAGTCCGAGCGGCGTGGCATTGTGGAGCGATCACCTCTTCAGAGCTCTTTGCTCCTCGGCGCGCAAACCCGCTGGGAATTACTCTCTGCTGAGCTCGGCACTTCGCATGGGGATGATGTCCGGTGCTGCGCCCGGCCCCGAGCGCCCCGTTTCAGCGCCTGCTGCACTACCTAACGGATGTACGCCCGCAAGCCACATCCTTATTCGGTCGTTTCGGTTCTATCACAAGAAGCCCCGACATGTATCTTCTCACCAACTGCGCCTGTTCACAGGACAAGACTGCCCACACCATTCCTCCACGGGACATACTTACACTCTCTAATCCGAGACATGTTGATGTTGCAAGACGACCCTCTCGGCGACTGTGTCCCAAGGTACATCTGCATCAGTGCCATCACTCGGGTCCAGAGAAGGGCGGAGAGTTAGTCAAATTTACGGTCGAGCGCACGCCTTGTGGACTAACTGAGCCCTTAAAACCCCTTGCCCCCGCATGTGACACCTTGCGGTGTCCGCGCAACTTATTCCTTGGTTACTCGCACCATGTCGCCTTATCCTTCGGAACGCTGCTCTGAGGTTCCAGCTACTCCGCCCACAGTATCTTCACCGCCTTCGTCGTTGGCGCCGTCCTCATCCTCGCCGCCATCCTCATCCTCGCCGTCATCCTCATCCTCTTCGCCATCATCCTCATCCTCCTCGCCGTCATCACGCACCTCAAGCATCCGGTCTTCGCGCGAAAGCAGTGCTCTCCCGGAGTAAGTGTCGCCGACCTGTACAAAGATGATATCTTTCCTGACTAAATACTTGACAGGCCTTCTGATCAACCTCAGTACTCAAGCCCGCCCCCTTCTCCGGACGAAACCTTCAACAACACCGATGCGCAATCGAATTCAGGCATAAGACCGCGAAGAAATACGGTGTCGTATAGGAAAGGAGTGCGTGCAAGGTCATTACCTCGCGCCACAGATGTTGCGAAGATCCCATAGTGTGTATTACTCTCGCCGTTAGGCACACGTACAGACGTTGACAAGTCTCTAGCCACGATCGCAGGTCTGTTTCGCCCTCCGGTGCAGCTCCGTCCCATCACCGCCGTAAAGCCTCCCCCCCTCCCTCTTATTGGGACGGGTCTTTCCGCCGTGCTGACGTCAATCTACTTCAAACGACTGCCGGGTACGTTGCCTCACCCAATCGTGTGCACTTCTTTTTGCTTATCTCATTTCAGGGAACTCTCTTGGACACAAGAACGGTCGTTGGGAGACCCGTTGAAGTTCTATCTTCCGCCGGGTTATGTACCGTATGTGCGCGGTTATCATTGTCCTTGCTGCAAAGCACAAAGCACGGTCGAGTGTCCGGGGGGGTATGTACTTTGATCACATTCCCGCTCAATGCCAATGCTGATCGTTATGTAATCAAAGAACGCTCCCTCTAGCGGGCCAGCTGGGACATCCAGCCCTTTCCGACTCCGCCACTACGAACCTCGGCAAACGGCCGCGTGTGGAGCCTCCTGGTGAAGAACAACTCGAGTGGGCCGGCATGACTTATATTCGACGAGAAATAAGCGAGGACGACCCATACGGCGAGGATTGTGTGGCTTATTGGTCGAGGCTCGAGAAGGATTCCGAGGGAAGGTTGCATACGGCATTCTACAATCGCCACAGGGTCAAGCTCGAGATCCTCAAGGTCGACGTCAACATCGACAAGGAGGAGTACCGCAAGCATATGGAACCTGTCCCAGACAACTCTGACCAGTGGCGTTGCATATGTGAGAAGGCGGAGCATGGTCGAAGCGGTCGATGCAATTTCCAGTCGAAGAAGAACTTGATCAAGCGCCACATTGAGACGACACATCTGAATATCAAGTGTGTCTCTTCCGACATTACTTACGCTTCAAACCGCTGATGAATGCAGACGCTTTCAGTGTAGTTGGTGCGGAGGGTATGCCTCTTCGCCTGGTTGTTCTTCCAATAAGGCTGACAGTGTATAGCAAGTTCACGCAACGCAGCAACGCAGAGAACTGCCATGTGAACGTACAGTGCGTACATTGGTTAATTTCATTTATCATGCGCCCGTCTCATTGTTCCTTAGTACCCGCGAGAGCCCTCATGCGTGCGCTCAATGTGACATGCGATTCAGCGACCCGTCGAAGCTCCACAAGCATGTCTCGCGCGATCATCACCAGGCTACGCGTCTGAAACGTCCACGGCTCGATGCGGATCAGCACATTACTGCCGAGTAGTCGTTGAGAACGCTTTCTGCACCTCTTTGTTGTCTTACTTCCCATCCTATGCAAGCTGTCGTTCTCCCTGCTCTCGCATGCTTCGTCCCCATCGCTCTTTTGTACATTTTATGACTATTTGATGCTGCTGTAGTGTACCTGTCTATCTTCATGTTCACCGTTCCATGCCTTAGGACAATGGGTTTTGTATGTTCGTAATTGGTCAGGGCTTCCGTCGTTCTCACTCTTGGTTGGGGCAGCGTCCCGGCAGCGTCGCTTTGGTCGCAACCGGCAGATGGAGACACTGTACAAAGTCTGCGAAGTGGTTGAATGTTCAACCGAAGTAAGTGTCGGTGGCTACGTACAAGATATCTGCGTGTCCGGATTGGAGAGGTTGTCAAGCTCGGCGTCAGACAGGTCGCCAGATGCTGTAGCATCGTCTCCGCCCTCGGCATTCCGCGTCGTGGCCTCCGCCGATACATTGACATCGTTCATTCCACCCCACGTCCAGCTCGTTTACCGCGCCTCGCTCGGCATCCCCATCTCTATTCGTGCTCGCCGTCGGCGTCTGTTGTTCCGCTCCCACACCAATACACCTCGCGCGCGTACCTCGCGCTCCCCGGTGCAGACCCACCATCATCTACTCCGGTCCCACTCTACATCACAACGCCGACGACATTGTTGCTGTTGTTCCAGACCGTGTTCCACATATTGAGTTGAAGGAAAAACTCGCGCCCTTTCGCCATGCATACAATCTAGCAGCTCAAATTACACCTCTCGACGTTAGGCCCTCATTATCGTTCGCCACACCCTTTACCGGTCTATCCCTTACAGGCGCTCCTCTTGTCGTCTTTCATATCTTCTTCACACTTGGGCCAATCCAGTTCGTATCGACTTCTACATACAAACATACTCCTCTGACTTGCCCCTCGAGCACCTGTATCGCACCAACACGCTCTCATGACTAGCTACAGCACCATTCGCCCTGCTTCAAACACACTCAAGATGACTACTCAAAATACGACGTGGCAGCTCTCGCATTGAACGCCTCACTTCGGGCGACAACATACACATACGAATGAGTCCTGATAGCTCGCATGTTATTTCATGCCCATCCCTCCATCCCCTGTGGATCAATCTTCGTTCAATAGATTGTATGGCTGAGCGATATGCTGATGCTCACTTCTTCTGGCACTGTTGACTACAGTAGAGTGTGCACTTACAAAAGCTGCATTGCTGACGATCTTGCGCAAGAGGCAGTTCGGCGAAGCAGGAAAAACAAGTCCTCCGAAGTTGAGGCCAGATCCAGATCGCGGGCCGCAGCATATGCAGTTGCTCCGGCGAGAGGCTTTGAACGAGGGCTGAGGGCACCGGACGATTGGAAAGCATTCTCTTCATGTGTAGGAACTGCGCCAGCCTTCCCTCGGCGGGTTGTGATATCTGTTCGGCGATATCGAGAACATGTATGGGCTTTATGCCACTCACATGGCTCAATGGCCCCTGCGACAGCATGTACAGCAAACCAAGTATACTCGCCGAATGAGGGCGGCGTAGCTGGCGATAGAACGCCCCGGCACATTGGCCGCTCAGCCTAGTTGCACATCAGTTGCATATCGCGGGAAAGCGCACACGAGCGTACAGTCGATGCGTGAACATTTGATGTAGCTGGTGCTTTACAAACATCCAAACTTCATCGTGTGCAACCATCGGCGAGCGGGTCATATCTTCGTAGATGCATCGGGCAATATAGTGGACGGGCATGAGGTAACTTGCAAAACGCAGTGCATGCTCTGGGCGGCGCTCTAGTCGACCCCGAACTCCGACCGTGTCGAATGCTCTGGCGTTGTACAGGCCGTAGACAATACTGGAGGTCCTCATCCAAAGGTGACGGTACTAGCGAACATTAGTCACCTCATCGCGATCAAATCATATCGGGGGGCACCTCGCTTTGCCTCTGCATAAGCTCTGCCAGGAGCCAAATGATACCACCAATCTTGACGTGCAGTATTTCACGACTAGGAAAAGCGGGTTGTCCAATCGTGGGAGCCATAGTTTGTGAGTCTGCCATGCTTCGCAGTGAAGACAGGACTGGCTCGAAGTCCTCGCTGGTCGCGCGTTGCAACTCTTCGACGACGCGAATAGCACGCGGGAGATACGGGTCCCAGCAGCGTGTGACTGTAAGACCGACGGTATTCATAGAGCAAATCGAGAATATGACCTCGCCCCAGCGCTGTATCTGTCTATATAGGCGCGCTGGAAATATACCCGCACATTGTTGGGCCGGCAGAACATTGAAGCAAGCTTCGGTTGCACTGCCTCTCCGTCGACCCGAATATTAGTGCCGTCCACGATTTACGATGCACGGACGCAGCAGTGCCGGACTACATGCTTGACATCAGTACCTGAGCTCCATCGACACGCACACGGATGTTATGAGGGTAAACTCTAAGATAACGAATGGTGAATGCGAGCCTGAGTGCATTTGAGCGTTCGACAGGAGAGCAATAAATGCCGTCCGATAGCCCGTTTATCGGTGGCAAGTCTACCGGTCGAAGCGCGTGGTGGTCGGTAGTGAGGAGCGTCGCAGATGGGCGCTTGCCTCGTCCACCGCCACGTGCCGTGCGTCACTGCGACGCGACTTCAACGAAACTTACCATCAAACTGTGCTGTACTGCCTTCTTTCATGCATGTACATGTCTTCTAGACACTTGAAACCGCTGAGTACATAGCGTGAAGCTCGCTTGGCGGATGAGGAGAGAAGATGTCTGAGAGCGCTCGCTAAGGCATCTGCCGATGGACTTTGGAAGAACGCGACGCCATGTGCCCATACCTTCGCTCGCGACGCAATCTGGGGCTCGGTGAATATGGCCCGGTGAATCATACCGCGAAGATCTCTCGCCCTCTTGAAACGTCGCCCACAGTATATGAGCGCGGGAGAGAGGCGGCCGTCCGGCGATGTGAGAATGGGGATGAGAAGGTTTAAATTATGGATACGGGTCAAGTTCACTTCAATCCACCCTCGCATCGATCACACAGTTCTCACCATGCTGATTACAGATGACGGTACTGATAGCATGCCTAGCTTAGAGACTGTTACATCAGACTGGTCCGACGCTGGTACGAGCGTTGTATAGTCGGCAATCCTATGATATTCATATAGTGCCGCTTAGGCACCGACTCTGGGATTGGGACGTCAAGTATCTCAGGTAGCGTCGCCCCAATCGTGCTCGGTACGTCTTCACCCCCGTCGTACTCGTTTGGAGCGCAATTGATGACGAGTACGCCGCAGAACACGAAGTCGTGGGCGGAAACACGAGCGTAACTCTGACCCCGAGAGCCGTCAGCGCGCCCGATTCATACTCCAATAGATCTGCAGGAGCCACAGTTAACGCCGGCATTGAGGTTCTGCTGGACGAGCGGCGAGACCAACCAACTAACGGGCTTCTCTGGCGCGTACTTGACTGGACGCACTCGTGCGCCGATATAAACTGGAAGGACTCCCGGGTCCTGACCAGTTCATATTATCTGGCGGCACTTCAGTGAGTCCGGGCCGCAGTCTAGATGTGGATATGGTCTGATTATGACCAGGATAACAGCAGAAAATCCGCTGAAGGAGCGTTCCTTAGGCAGGGAGCTAGGGTTGTTGACCTGGATCCTGGGCAGTCGGGCGAGCGTGCGTGGGTGCGATGCATACCGACCGAGCCACGCGGGCATTGCCAATATCGGCTTGCCTACACAGAGCATATTTGGATTCGCTAGCTGTGTCGGAGATGGGATAGATTTGCTGTCGCCTGAGTAGATCCCGTGGCATGTAAGTGGTACTACCACCCAAGAAAGAACCATTGCCCTTCTCCGGGGCAAACGAGATCATACTGTCATCAAAGTGGCAGGTAAGGCATCACTCCGTGTCCTTCGCGGCCACTTTCACTCGAGCGCTCGCCGAAATACCTGGGAATCATCTGTAGACGGGAGGTGGGTGTGCCCTTCCAAAAGATCTGAAGGATACCGGCACGCGCATTGGTGGGAAGAACATAACTTCAGATACATGCGAGCCATGCATAGATAGCCAAGATGACGATCGCTTGAGTATAATACTTCCGACGCTCCGGTGCTTTCAAGAGCCGTCCATGGTCACCCAGTACCCGTCCAGTGAGAGCCTTCACAGGCGTTCAGGCCCGTCCTATTCCGCATTAGCCTCACATTGACCAGGCATGCGTAGATACGCGCGTCTGCAGGTGTCGAAAACGCGGGTGGCTGTCGGATCCCCGGTATGCCATCACAATTCTCTCGGGCCAATGCGTACATAGTCACCTAAGTCTACTACTCTTGTTAGCATGGTATACTCTGTACTGCATATGACGCACCGAAGGGCGAAAATTGGCTCCCTCCAACTTCATGCTTGTCCGAGTATGGAACACGATTGCAGTCGCGCGTGGTTGCCGTCTCCGTATATGGTTCCACCTGAACACATCCGTCGCATTTAGTGGGAGAACAGACTGATGCATCGGCTAGGGACATACCATCGCCGTACGCACCATGAAGCTAGGACTATGGCGGGATGCAAGCACCAAAGGCAGACGATGGCACGTGGACGGAAAGCCGCGCCGATCACACCGCCGTGGGATAGCGTTTGGCGCGATGGCGGTTGTCATTCAACCACTTCCTGTCTACCCGCATGACAGACTACCGCCACCACATCCTGTTATCGACCGAACGTATATTATCTAGTGCTTTGTCTACTCTGCTGCGGGTTACTGGACTCGATGATATCGTTTCGCTAAACGAACGCGACGAGACTGAGCGTTGCCAGTGGTCTCCTGTTGATTCATCGATGATCCCTAGGAGTCATAATACCAGGCGCTACTTCGTGCTTCTGTGTCTTCATGGATCTCAAGCACGACGCTGATGATATAGCTGTCAAGTCTGCGTACAGCACGGTAGGTCTGACCAATGAGCTCGCCCGTAAAACCTCGGTTGAACGCGTCCTACAGCCTACTTGTCACTTGGGATGAATTCTCTCGTATACGTTATTGACTGACGCAAAGTGTTTAGGTCACGTATGTCCAGGTAGTCGTGGGACTTAATAGTCTCGTTCAAAGTTGGATAACGAGGGGCCGTTATCCGCTCGATAAGAGCCGTTAACGAGCCCACCTCGTTATCCGCGCTGCTGGTGCACCGCCGGTGATGCCCGATCAGCGCCGCCGCGCCGGTACTCCTCGCGCGCACGCGTGCGCGCGCGGGCTCGCGTTCGGGCTCGCGTTCGGTG